AAGGGAGGGAGGGAGGCGAGGGAGAAAACCCCCCCGGACATTTTAACCTTGTTACCAATTCCTCCCGGATAGCTATTTAGAGACGCAAAAGCCGGACATGTCTGGGGAAATATGGACGGATGGTAACCCTAGTTATAGCTGTCTCTTGAAAAAGAAAATTCATAATAAAAAGTTTTAAAAGAGCTGGTCAAGTTTCTATCTGGATCATTAACATTTCTTTTTAATAAGTCCTGGAACACTGGGGAAGTTCTAGAAGACTGGAACTAAGCTAATGTTGTGTCAATATTTAAAAATGGGATAACCTGGGTAATTATAGGCCTGTCAGCCTGACATTAACCCTTGGCAAAAAAAAGGAAATGGCTGATACAGGACTAGATAAGTCTTCACTGCAGAGGATGTGAAGGAGAGTCCCAAACCTGAGCCATTCTTTTTAGCTGACAAATTTGAGTAACTGTCCTAAACTGAGGAGTCAGTAGAGGAGGTTTTGGAACAAATTGATAACTTAAATAGTGATAAGTCACCATTTATGGATGGTATTCATCTAAGAGTTCTGAAGGAACTCAGATATGCAGAAATACTAATGGTAATCAGTAATCAATTTTAATCACGAATTACTGTGGTATGTAACCTATTGCAGAAATCAGCCTCTATACCAGATGACTAGAAGATCACTAATGTAAGGCTGATTTTTTTTTTTTTTTTTAAAAAAGGATCCAGAGGCAATTCTGGCAATTACAGGCCAGTAAACTTAAGTTCAATACCAGGCAAACTGGTTGAAACTATAGCAAAGGACAGAATTATTAGACACGCAGATAAACACAATGTGTTAGAGAAGAGTCAATATGGCTTTTGTAAAGAGAAATCATGCCTCACCAACCTACTAGAATTATTTGAGGGTATCAACAAGCATGTAGACAAGGGTGATCCAGTCAATATAGTGTACATGGACTTTCAGAAAGTCTTTGACAAGGGCCCACACCAAAAGCTCTGAAGCAAAGTAAGCAGTCCTGGGATAAGAGAGAAGGTCCTTTCATAGATCAGTAACTGACAAAAAGATAGGAAACAAAGGGTAGGAATAAGTGGTCAGTTTTCACAGTGGAGAGAGATAATTGGCAGCATCCACTAAGGATCTGTGCTGGGACTGGTACTGTTCAACATGTTCATAAATGATCTGGAAAATGGGGTAAAGAGTGAGTTAGCAAATTTTGCAAAAGATACTAAATTACTCAAGATAGTTAAAGTCCAAAGCTGACACTGAAGAGTTACAAAGGGATGTCACAAAATTGGGTAACTGGGCAACAAAATGACAGATGAAATTCAGTGTTAATAAATGTAAAGTAATGCACATTAGAAAAACATAATCCCAACTGTACATTCAAAATGATGGGACTAAATTTGCTGTTATCATTCAAGAAAGAGATCTTGGAGTCATCATGGCTAGTTCTTTGAAAACATCTGTTCAATATGGCAGTCAAAAAAGCTAACAATGTCAGGAAAGATTAGGAAAGGGATAAATATCATAGAGCCACTATACATTCATGGTACACCCACACTTGCTATACTGTGTGCAGCTCTGGTCACCCCATCTCAAAAAAGTTTTATATTAGAATTGGAAAAGATACACAGAAGGGCTGCAGAATTGAATAGGGGTATAGAACAGCTTTCATATGAGGAGAGATTAAAAAGTCTGGGACTGTTTAGTTTAGAACATAGATGACTAGGGGTGATATGACAGAGGTCTATAAAATGAATGGTATGAAGAAAGTGAATAGGCAGGTGTTATTTACTGTATCACATAACACAAGAACCAGGGGTCACCAATGAAATTCATAGGCAGCAAGTTTAAAATAAACATAAAGTACTTCTTCACACAACACAGTCCATTTGTGGAGCTTGTTGCTGAGGGACGTTGTGAAGGCCAAAAGTATAACTGTTCAAAAAAGAATTAGATAAGTTCATGGAGGATTGGTCCATCAATGGCTATTAGCCAGATAGTCAGGGACGCAACCTCATGCTCTGGGACTTCCTAGCCTCTGACTTCCAGAAACTGGGAGTAGACGACAGGGGATGGACCACTCAAAAATTGCCTCTTTCTGTTCATTCAATTTAAAGTGTCTGGCACTGGCCCTTGTTAGAAGACAGGATACTGGGCTAGATGGACCATTGGTCTGACCCAGTATGGCTGTTCTTATGTTCTCTAGATTAAATAATAATTAAAGGAGGATTATATAAATAACATGGTTTTATCGAAAATGGATCTTGTCAAACTAACCTGATATAATTTTTTGATGAGGTTTTAAGTTTGATTGAAAAAGGTAATAGTGTTGTTTGTTACATAGTTAGATTTCTGTGAAGTATTTGAGTTGATACCACATAGCACTTGGATTTAGAAATTAGACGGATATAAAATTATCACAGCACACATTAAATGGATTAAAAACTGGCTAGCTAATAAGTCTAAAAATCAGAGGGGTAGCCGTGTTAGTCTGGATCTGTAAAAAGCAACAGAGGGTCCTGTGGCACCTTTAAGACTAACGGATGTATTGGAGCATAAGCTTTCGTGGGTGAATGCCCACTTCGTCAGACGCATGTAATGGAAGTTTCCAGAGGCAGGAATAAATATGCAGGCAAGAATCAGTATGGAGATAACGAGGTTAGTTCAATCAGGGAGGGTGAGGTCCTCTGCTAGCAGTTGAGATGTGAACACCAAGGGAGGAGAAACTGCTTCTGTAGTTGGATAGCCATTCACAGTCTTTGTTTAATCCTGATCTGATGGTGTCAAATTTGCAAATGAACTGAAGCTCAGCAGTTTCTCTTTGGAGTCTGGTCCTGAAGTTTTTTTCCTGTAAGATGGCTACCTTTACATCTGCTATTGTATGGTCAGGGAGGTTGAAGTGTTCTCCTACAGGTTTTTGTATATTGCCATTCCTGATATCTGACTTGTGTCCATTTATCCTCTTACGTAGTGACTGTCCAGTTTGGCCAATGTGTATAGCAGAGGGGCATTGCTGGCACATGATGGCATATATATCATTGGTGGACGTGCAGGTGAATGAACCGGTGATGTTGTAGCTGATCTGGTTAGGTCCTGTGATGGTGTTGCTGGTGTAGATATGTGGGCAGAGTTGGCATTGAGGTTTGTTGCATGGATTGGTTCCTAAGTTAGAGTTGTTATGGTGCGGTGCATGGTTGCTGGTGAGAATATGCTTAAGGTTGGCGGGTTGTCTGTGGGCGAGGATTGGCCTGCCTCCCAAGGTCTGTGAAAGCGAGGGATCATTGTCCAGGATGGGTTGTAGATCACTGATGATGCGTTGGAGAGGTTTAAGCTGAGGACTGTAGGTGATGGCCAGTGGAGTTCTGTTGGTTTCTTTCTTGGGCTTGTCTTGTAACAGGAGGCTTCTGGGTACATGTCTGGCTCTGTTGATTTGTTTCCTTATTTCCTTGTGTGGGTATCGTAGTTTTGAGAATGCTTGGTGAAGATCTTGTAGGTGTTGGTCTCTGTCTGAGGGGTTGGAGATAAAGTCTAAAAATGTCATTTTAAAGGGGAATCATCACTGAGCTGTTGTTTTTCTTGTGAGGTCCTGCAGGGATTGGTTCTTGGCTCTATGCTATTTAGCATTTTTACCAACGATCTGGAAGAAAACATAAAATCATCATTGCTAAAGTTTGCAAGTAACACCAATATTGTGAGAGTGATAAATAATCAAGAGGGCAGGACACTGATAGAGCGCTCTGGGTCACTTGGTAAGATGGGCACAAGCAAATAATATGCATTTCAATATAGACAAATGTAAGGTCATACATTTAGGAACAAAGAATGCACACCAGAATTACAGGATTGGAGACTCTATCCTGGGAAGCAATGACTGAAAAAGACTTTGGGATCATGGTGTATAATCTGCTGAATGTGAGCTCCCAGTGCAAACCTGTGGCCAAAAGGGCTAATGCAGTGCTTGGATGTATAAACATGGGAATCTTGAGGAAGTGTAGAGAGGGGTGATATTGCCTCTGTATTTGGCACTGGTGTGACTGCTGCTGGAACACTGTGTCCAGTTCTGGTGCCCACACTTCAAGAAGGATGTTGATAAATTCGAGAGGGCTCAAAGGAAAGTCACAAGAATGACTAAAGGATTGGAAAACATGCCTTATAATGACAGATTCAAGGAACAATTTACCAGGATTGTGGTAGATTCTCCATCTATGGCAATTTAAAAATCAAGATTGGATGTTTTTCTAATATATATGGTCTAGTTCAACCAGAGCTATTGGATCTGAAGCAGGAATTAATTCAGTGAAGACCTATGGATATACAGAAAGTTAGACTAGATGATTATAAGGGGACTACATGGTCCCTTCTGGTCTTGAAATCTATGGGTATAGTTACACTGCAATGTAAGCCCAGGGTTAGTAGAACTTGAGTTAGCAGACTCTGGGTTTGTTAACACAGGGCTTGAGTATTTCTACCTATTTGTAACTCCAGATTTGGAATTGCTGAACCCTGAGTCCCAACCTGGCGCTCCAGCATCTACACTGCATTATGCGGGCCTGAGTTGAACTACCTAGATCCCAGACTTCCTAGAGCCCTCCCAAAATGCAGCTGCTCTAGCCCTTTGTTCGTGGTGAAGTGTGGGAAAATTTGACTGTTCACCAAACTTGACTGTCAAGAGGACAAAGAAAGCCTGTGGAACTGTGGGATACTTTTGTCAGACTCCCAGAGCATGATTCTAGTAGGGTTGTGCCCATACTGCAGAGCAGAAGGGCTTGAACACTGCGTCCCAGCTTGACTCAGGGTCAAATCCTCAAACCATGGGGTCGAAGCTCTGGGTTAGCGTGATTTGTATGTAGCTGGAAGGAGGATTAGGCTTGAACCTGAGTTTGAACCCTGGGTTTACATTGCAGTGTAGAAATGCCCTATGAATATTTCCATTATTGGTGATTATTTTTAAATAGAAAATTCTAAATGACTGTTACTGTAACTGTATAAATATCTTTCCTTTCAGAATTCCACTACTGTGCAATGAAAGGAATCTTCATTCCTGGGAATTGAAACTGGTGGATTATTCCTGGTTTCCTTGATGATTATAAAATGGAGCCCCTATCATTCAAAGTTAAAAAACTTCAAGCACCCACTGATATCTCAGTGGATTTTAGTCTCCAGCTTGTTGGTTCTCTGCCAGTGCATTCTCTAATCACCATGCCAGTGCTGCCTTGGATTGTGGCAGAGATTCGGCGGCTCAGTATGCAGTCTTCCATGGAAGAACCTAGCACCAGCCAAATCCGGCTTTATGTTTCACCAGCAAGCCTGCGATGTGAACCAGACACAGGAAAGAGCCAACAGTGGGATCCTTTGATTTGTTCCAGCCTGTTTGAGTATAAGCCACAGCATGTCCACAAACTGATTCACAATAGCCACGATCCAAGTTACTTTGCTTGTCTGATAAAGGATGGAGCAGTAAATCAGCAAAGTATCTGTTATGTATTCAGAGCTGCTGATCCAACAAAAGTAAGTAAAAAAGCAATTCTCAGAGCTTGCTTCGCTCCATGAGATATTAGAAGCTGATTTATAGGGCATGATGTAAATGCACAAGAGAAGTTAATACTGTGTATTTCAAAATGATCTTTGGATCTTTTCATTACAGTCTGAGTTCTTGAAACTCTTTTTACAAAGTAAGACCTCAGTCTTGCAAAGACTTAACACATGGGCTGAACTTTACACACACTCAGTTTTACTATGTGAAGTTAGGCCCGTGTCAATCTTTGCAGGATCGGGGCTTAGTTTACTATAAGCTAGTGATATGGGCTGAAATCCTGGCCCCGTTGAAGTCAGTGGGAGTTTTTCTATTGATGTCAGCGGGGCTAGGATTTCACCCATAAACTGCCCTGGACCTTCTCTAATCCTACATTATATGAGTAGCTTGTGTTCCCTCTGGGAAGGTTGTAGTGCTAAAAATAGGCATCCAATTCTGCTCTTCTGATCCAAGTGAGTAATCTGCTAAAGCCACATCCTCACATGAATAAGGTGAGTAAAACTGGGTATTAGGTTTCTGCAGCTGACCAGTAATGTTTAGTGGGCAAAGCAGCGGCACCACTGAGGTATAAGTTGTAGTTATTAATATTGGAGGCAGAGCTCACATTGGTCCAAATTCTTTATGCCTTATTCACGAGAGTAGCCCCACTGAAGCACCTCAGAGGGACTGTTTGCATGTGTACAGTTGATCAGATTGATTTATGTACTTACAGCTACCTGCTCTGGAGCAAGACAGGGTATAACATCAAACTCATGGTACCTGGCTCAGAGCTGGATACCTGGTTATGGACACAGCTTTAATTAAATTCCCCCAAGATAAAAAGGTAGCTAAGTAAACTAACAGCCAAATAGGATTTAAATCACAAGCACTTAAGTGAGAAAATACTGTCAAATTAAAAATGGCCTACTCGATAAGATATAAGATGTATGCATTTAAGGGTGGGGAGTAGATGTTTTAGGACTTGGCACTGAGTAGAAAGAAGCTGTTAAATATGTACTTATGTACTTCATTGTGTGGGTTGTGGTTTTGTTAGGATCATGGTTAATAAACAACTTTGATCACCTCCAGTACAATTTCTTCTGTAACAACAGAGTGAAAAGCAAAGTACTATTTCCACTTGCTTGATCAGACTTCTGGAGCTGTTTGAAATAAGAGAGAGGGGGAAATATAAAGATTTGGGTTTACAGTTTCAACTGTATCCATAGATTTTGGATGCCAGTGTCTATGATCATTATTGTTTTAATTTGGAATTGCCTTATCTCCGTTTGTTCTCCTTTACAGCGTCCATTTATTCTGTCTCTGATGCATGTGTGTAACTCCCATTAACATTACTGAAAGTTGTGTATGCTTATCAAAGTGTGTGTGAGAGAGATATCTATGTATTGAGACAGCAGGGTACCCAGATTGGGAGCACAGCAGTGTCTAGGACGGGGTGGGCAAACTGTTGGGGCTGAGGGCCACATCTGGGTGGGGAAATTGTATGCAGGGCCGGGACAGGAGGCTGGGGTGCAGGAGGGATGCGGAGTGCAGGAAGGGTGCGGGATGCGGCAGGGGGCTCAGGGCAGGGAGTTGGGGTGCGAGGTGCAGGCAGGGGGCTTAGGGCAGGGAGTTTGGGAGTGGGGTGCAGGCTTCAGGAAGTGCTGCGGCCCCTGGGGGAGGGGAGGGTGGAGGGGTCCACGTGCTCTGCCCTTGCCCCGCCTCAAGGTACCTCCCCCGAAGCTCCCATTGGCCGGGGTTCCCCATTCCCAGCCAATGGGAGTTGCGGGGGCAGTGCCTGCAGGCAATGGCAATGCACAGAGCGCTCTGCCCCCCCGCCTGGGGCCGCAGGGAAGTGGTGCCGGCCGCTTCTGAGAGTGGCACGGGGCCCACAGCGCCACGGGGGGCAATCCAAAGCCCTGAAGGGCCGGATCCGGCCCGCGGGCCATAGTCTAGGATCATTATTGTTTTAAATTGGAATTGCCTATCTCCATTTTGTTCTCCTATAGAAGAAACAAATATTAGAAGTCTAACTTCTGTGGACTGAGTGACTCAGCAGTCTCTTGCTCCAGTCCATTAGATCTCTTGTCCCAGAGGACTCCTTTCACTGCCTGCAACATTTGCTCTGAGGAATCAAACAGCAGTTTTCCATATTTAGATTGTGTTGGCATGGTCAGCTTCCTCTCTGTTGCTCCTAGGATGGACAAAAAATGTTCTGCATATTTTTTCTATTTGTGCTTGTTATTCAGAAAGAGACACAGCAGTCCAAATTAGCTTGGTGACAGAGCTGAAGTATTAAAACCTTGTTGTATACGAACCCCCCACAGAGCGGGTCTTGAACTTGCACTGGATTCACTATACTTATTTATCAGTCCAGTCTTACTGAATAAAAGTTTAGAAGTTATGATCTCACCTTTGTGAAAAACTCAGGCATAATTTGGCTACGTTGGAGAAATTAAATCTCTCCATTGGGTCAAATATAACTTCTTAATACAGTGGTTGCAGCTATGGTAAATTTAATTACTTATTCTCAGTGTTACTTTTCATTACCCACCTCCCTCAGACTCTCTCCAAAATGTTGTAATAATTAGATAGACATCTGATCTATTTTATAGGACAAGAGGTCTCCACGATTAAAACGTTATAAGATACAAGGTTCATAACCACTTGCATCTCTGTGGATGAATCTGGAAAAGGCTATGGCTGATGTAGATGAAATTCACATTAAGACAGGGCTCCTGTGCAAATTAGATTGAAAAATCAGTCTTGAATTACAACAAAAAATATATGGTTATGAGTTCACAAGCGCTATCAAATAGGGTTGCCACCCTTCTGGATTTTACCCAGATAGTCCAGTTTTTGGCTTCTGTGTCCAGGTGCTATTTAGGGTTGCCAGGTGCCTGGTTTTTGACTGGAAAGTCCGGTTGAAAAGGGGACCTGGCAACCCTAAATGACACCTGAACCAAAAGTTTGGTTACTGCAGGGTGTGGGAGGCACTGGGTCATTGGAAAAAGGCAAATATAGGCCCATCTTTAAAAAAGGAAAGAAGGAGAACCCGGGGAACTACAGGCTGGTCAGCCTCACCTCAGTCCCTGGAAAAATCATGGAGCAGGTCCTCAAGGTTTTGAAGCATTTGGAGGAGAGGACGGTGATCAGGAACAATCAACATGGATTCACCAAGGGCAAGTCATGCCTGACCAACTTGATTGCCTTCTATGATGAGATAACTGTGGATATGGGGAAAGCAGTGGGCGTGATATATCTTGACTTTAGCAAAGCAGTGCTATATCTTGACTTTAGCAAAGCTTTTGATACGGTCTCCCACAGTATTCTTGCCAGCCAGTTAAAAAAGTATGAATTGGATGAATGGACTATAAGGTGGATAGAAAGCTGGCTAGATTGTCAGGCTCAACGGGTAGTGATCAACGGCTCGATGTCTAGTTGGCAGCCGGTATCAAGCGGAGTGCCCCAGGGGTCGGTCCTGGGGCCAGTTTTGTTCAACATCTTTATTAATGATCTGGATGATGGGATAGATTACACCCTCAGCAAGTTTGCGGATGACACTAAACTAGGGGGAGAGGTAGATACACTGGAGGGTAGGGATGCGGTCCAGAGTGACCTAGACAAATTGGAGGATTGGGCCAAAAGAAATCTGATGAGGTTCAACAAGGACAAGTGCAGAGACCTGCACTTAGGATGGAAGAATCCCATACACTGTTACAGGCTGGGGACTCACTGGCTGGCCAAGCAGCAGTTCTACAGAAAAGGACCTGGGGATTACAGTGGACAAGAAGCTGGATATGAGTCAGCAGTGTGCCCTTGTTGCCAAGAAGACTAATGGCATATTGGGCTGCATTACTAGGAGCATTGCCAGCAAATTGAGGAAAGTGATTATTCCCCTCTATTCGGCACTGGTGAGGCCACATCTGGAGTATTGCATCCAGTTTTGGGACCCCCACTACAGAAAGGATGTGGACAAATTCGAGAGAGTCCAGTGTAGGGCAATGAAAATTATCAGGGGATGGGGCACATGACTTGTTTGTAGGGTGACCAGACATCCCGATTTTATCGGGACTGTCCCGATATTTGCTTGTTTGTCCCGCGTCCCGACCAATGTTAGGTCGGGACACTGGACAAACAAGCAAAGGCTCCAGAGCCCAGAAGGGCTCGCACCCCCCCCCCCCGCCCCGACTCCGCCACCTCCTTCCCCCCATTGGCTCCCTCCCCAAATCCCCGCCTCTTCCCCAAGCACGCCATTCCTCCTCCTTCCACAAGCGCTGGAGGGAGGCCCCGGAGACGCAGGGGGAGCGTGGGGCCGGGGTTAGTGAGAGTCCGGCCTGGCTCCGAGAGCAGGCAGGACTCAGTCGGGCGGTAGGGAGAGTAGGGGGGCGGCCCTAGGGGCCAGGCGGCGGCTGTTCTCCCCACCTGGGCAGTGGGACTCGGGAGCAGCCGCTGCTCCAGCTCCTACTGCCGCAGCCGGAGGAAGTGGCCATGGCGCTCGGCGGCTGCGGCTCTGGCGCCCGGGCCCGAACCCCCCGAGCCCGGGCCTGTTGCGGGGACCGAGCAGCGCGCACGCTGCGCCCAGCCCCATGCCAGTCGCATCTGGGCTGGTTGCCCAGCTGGTGCAATCCCGCGGCAGTCCCGGGGCGGAGGCATCGGCAGCCCAGCCCCGTTTGTTCCCTGGCGGGACCCGAGCGGGATGGGGGGGCTGGGGCCTGCTGCCCCCCACTCTGGGACCGCCCGCGGGATTGCACCAGCTGGGCAGCCAGCCCAGACACAACTGGCCAGGGGCTGGGCGCAGCACGCGCACGGGGTCCACGCAGCAGGCCCGGGCTCAGGGAGTTTGGGCCCGGGCGCCAAAGCCGCAGCCGCTGAGCGCCATGGCCGCTTCCTCCGGCCGCGGCAGTAGGAGCTGCAGCAGTGGCTGCTCCCGAGTCCCGCTGCCCAGGTGGGGAGAACAGCCGCCGCCTGGCCCCGCGGGCCGCCCCCCTACTCTCCC